TTTAAGTAACAGGGTTGATTCTGGGTATTGAACAGTTCCTATTGTTGAATTACCCCTCTATATATTCAAAATAAATAACAAAATAAACAAAATAACAAAATAAATAACAAAATAAAATGCCAAATTTTCTGCTGGCTTTATTGCTTACAAAAGATTAAGTCCATATTTTGACCCCATTTAGGTAAGTGAAAAGAGCATCCACACTGTGAACGTGCATTTTATATAAAGTATTACTGCATGAGTTTGCTTGTATTTGTTATTCCATTTTTRTTCTTGTGATGGAATCTCTAGAACTAAAAATAAATATTTATTGAACCTGACATGAATTAACAAAAGTTTAATTAATGCATTAATCAATGCATTCTTGAAAATCTTTTCCAGAWGCACCAGGCTGCCTGTTTGATCCAAAACGCATATAGAGGTTTCAGGGCAAGGAGGAAATTTGTTCAACAAAAAGCTGCTGCTGTAATTATCCAGAAACATYTGCGGGCTTGGCAGGAAGGCAGGCTTCAATTTATGAAATACAATCAGACTAGAAGAGCTGTCATTAAACTGCAAGCATTTATACGGGGTTATTTAGTCAGGAAAAAGGTTGGTATAATTCAAGTTGAAACTATGCTTTGGATTTAAAGTATTTCTAGAGCTGTCCTACCATTAATTCTGACTGGCAAGGAGAGGAAAACTTGATTTCTTCTTGTTGAAATCAAGTTCTTGTTGRCTGCTTTTAGTATGGGGTGGGTCAGAATAAATCAAACATAGTTTGAGCCTTTTCTTACAATCCTGTAGAACTAAAGTGGGTTTTAGCCAACATTGTTGGCTGTTTTTTTAGCTTCTATTATCTTTGTGGCTTACCTAATAAATGATACTTCTGCACACACAGGCTTCCAATGAAATCGTTCTCTGATGTGCATTAATGTTGTTTGCAATCACTTCTCTRTGTTACCATCTTGATTAGAGACCTGGTAGTGCAGACAGGCAGCTTACTTTAGTTCTGAGACAATTACCTCCAAGATGATTTTCCAGTATCTGATAGTATTTTGCTGTGTACTATGCTTTRTGTAGACATAGCTACCTCAGAGTATGAAAATTAATGATATTCCTTGTTTTGTCTTCCTTCTACAGATTTCAGACCAGAAACAAAAGAAGAGACTTCTTTATTTTACAGCAGCTGCATATCATCACATCTCTGCAATTAAAATTCAAAGGGCCTACAGGATTCACCTCACCTTTAAACTTGCACAAACTCAGATGTCCTCTGTTCTTATAATACAGGTTTGTCTCACTAAGGGTGAATGATTTTGTGTAACAGTCTGATTTGTTTTCTGGGAGCTAAGCTCCAGACAATGTAGTTYCTTCACATGTGAAAATTAAGCTTWATTATGGAGACTATGATTTATTAAMTGTTGAGCTTATACACAGCTAARARAGCTTAGCTGGCCAAGGCTAATCAGAGCCGTGGAGGTTATATGTGACTGGTGACATATATAAATCTKTCAAAGCTCATAGTAAAACATTTACTGAGTTTTTATCTGTGCTCATTTACAGTGGGAAAGGGAATTTAGGAGAAAAGTTTTAAATAAACAGAAAGGTGCTTTCATTTTAAACAGAGATGGTTCCGGGCAAAAATGCAGCGGAAGAGATTTTTAAGAGATTATCAGAGACTGATTGGATTACAACGTGCGGTTCGAGGCTGGCTGAAGCACAGGAACCAGGCAGCAGCCATAATCCAGAGAAACGTGCGCGCATTCCTCACCTGCAGGCGCAGGAGAAAATTTACTGGGGGAATAATTAAGTTTCAGGTAAATACCTCTTGTAAGAAAATGTCAGATGTGGTTTGGGGTGTTTTTGTTCATTTATTTTTATTATCTATTTTTTTCATGGGTTTTTGGGGAGAGGAAAATGTTTACTTGTGTTGATGAATTTATCAGGGAAATTGCAAGCCAAGTCAGCCTTGGTTTAGACATGAGAGTTGAAGGCAAACAGATCATGAAGGAATATTTAGCAGATACTGCATAAAGTGACTTAGGTGGGAGTGTGTGTGGACTGTATATGCATGGATTTTTTTTGGCCCTTTGTCATGAAAGTCCAGTATTTGAAAGATTAAACACTGAGTGTTAACTAAYTAAAACTGCATACCCAAGGTAATTCAATACTTTGCCAGACTTGTGTAAAACAGATTTGGAATGGTGATGGAAGTTCGGATGTCTTGTCTCTTCTTTACAACTTTTTTCCTTTGTGGAATTTCTTTTCTGCAGGCATTGTGGAGAGGATATTCTTGGAGAAAGAAGAATGACACAGCAAAAACCAGAGCTTTAAGATGCAGTTTAGAAAAAGCCAATGAGAAGAGCAGAGAAGAAAACAAATTGGGCAACAGAACTGCAATTGCAATTGAGCACCTTCTAAAATACAAACATCTCTCCTACATTCTTGCAGCACTAAAGCATCTTGGTAAGTATTTTGTTTTATTATAACTGATGGATTTTTCAGAATGATTAAAACTGGATTTTTTCAGCTGAGAAGAGTTCGTAATGATATTTAAGCTTTCTGCATGACTGTAAAATGTGAATATTAGAGGGCATAATGGAAAGCTTTCTAGATTAAAATTAGATTATTGATTTAAGAACAATATTTAAATGGCTATGTAGATAAAAGAAATCCTRTATGATTGCTCCAATTTCCTGTCATTCCTAGTAATGCTATAACTTACATAAGTTCAATGTTATGAACTTATGTAAGTTATGAACTGTTYACTATCAGTCTATGTTCTCTGTGGATTCTTTTGTCTGATTCATTTTGTGTCTGGAATATTTAAACTATTGCTTCAGAAATCCTTGCTTTGACCAATAAATGCAGATTTTCTTTGTACTTCTATTTAAAAATAGAGAAAACCCTGGTTTACAATTGAACTTCAGAGTTTTCTTTACTCTATTTGTTTTTCTTTAATTGTTACAGAGGTGGCCACCAGGCTGTCCCCATTGTGTTGTGAAAATATGGCCCAGAGCAGAGCAATCATCAGTATTTTTCTACTGATTCGAAGTTGCAACCGGAGTGTTCCATGCATGGATGTGATCAGATACTCGGTTCAGGTTCTACTCAATGTTTCAAAGGTAACTTCAATGGGTTTTTTTGCAGGTTTATAAGAAGCAGGCTACTTTATTGTGGTACTTGTTTATCCACAAAATTTCTGAGTAAGTCTGGAACAACAAAAGAGTAGTAGTTTTGAATAAAAAGGGATTCTGATTTTTTCACTGTTATTTTGAAACCAGTTATTTTTGTAAACAAAATTTACAAAATTGTAATAATAATGTATGTAAAATTGTGGGGGTTTTTTTGGCACAAAAATTATTTCACAGCCTTAAGACATTACAAGGTATCACAAGTATTTTTAAATTTCTCTGAACTTATTTTAATTTATTTCTTTATTTTAAATATAAAATCAGATTCCATGGGTTTTCTAAACTAGCGGGAGAGGGCAAAAGGCACCTTTTTGTAATCTGTTACAATTGTGTAACATATGGAAGCGATTGTTATTTCTTGGATACCAGTTCAGCTACAAATTTTTTCTAGGGAAGAATMTGGACTAAGCTCTAAATATTATCCTCTAAAATAAAAATGTTTCAATGATCTGTATATAAGCTCTTGTCTCTTTCTTGCTTAACAGTATGAAAGGACTACTCGAGCAGTTTATGAAGCAGAAAATTCTATAGATACTTTACTAGACCTGCTGCAAATGTACAGAGGCAAAGCTGGGGACAAAGTTTCAGAGAAAGGAGGAAGCATTTTCACAAAGACCTGTTGTTTGTTGGCCATCCTTTCAAAGGACTCAAAAAGAGCTTTGGTAAGACTTAAATGTTTTGGGTTTAATAGTTTAATTTAACATACTTTTCTTTCATGTTTTGGTGGTATTTGTAATTTTTTTTCTCCTCCTCTCTACCATTCTACGTCTGCAATATTAATTATGACTAAACTTTCATTTTAAAAAAAAATTTCCAGGATGGCAAATACACTCAGATTTTCTTGATTTGTTAAGCTGTTTTGAACATGTAGCATTAACTGTGTCTGCTGTTTTCACCTGTCCTCAGGAGATCCGAGGTATGCCAAGAACTGTTTCTTGCATCCAGAGCCTGTATAAACTCACAGCTCGGAARCACAGGATGGATGCAGAGAGAACACTTGTGAGGCAGAAAACAAACCTTGTCTTAGGTGGGAGTTCCTCTGTTCCAGCAACTCCTCTAAGAATAAAAACAGTTTCAAGGTAAATACTTAAAGATTAGTCTTCTATTTGTGTTGTGACATTGAAATGTTTTAATGCAAGACATTAATATTTTCACAGGATTAAACCAGACTGGGTCTTGAGGAAAGATAACATGCAAGAAGTTGTGGATCCTCTGCAAGCAATTGTGATGGTTATGGACACACTTGGCATTGCCTGCTACTGAAATGTAAATGATGTATAGGAAGATGTATTTGTACAGTATGTATGTAGTAGATGCATAAATGATGTTGAAAAAAAATGAATGTGTCAAACTACCCTTGAAAATATATTTTTTTGGATTGCATTTAACATTTTAGTAACTTTTTGTATTATGTAGAGTTTTGAAACCCTCTTTTGTACTGCTACAAAAGCAATTGTACAATAAAATCAGTTCACTGGATTTTACTGGAAATTTCACTGCTGCAGTAATGTATTGTTGTCACACAACTGTGAATATTACAAATATCATGGGATTCTTCACTCTGATTAGATATTGTAGAATTCTCTTGAAAGCAGTTGTTTGTGTGGGATAGTAATATCTTCTCTGTCCTACGAGGTGTACAAAGGGAGGCTTAAGTTGTGGATTTCAAAACTATTTCTAAAACTTTGCAAAACTGTGATTGAAACCAACAGGAGTTGTAAAGGTGAATTTAGAAATTCTGACCTGTCATTTTAAGGGAGGTGATTTGTGGATTTTTTTCTTCCTATCAAGTAAGCAATGCATCTCATCACTACAGGCATGCATCTCATCACTACAGGCGTGCATCTCATCTGGCTGAATAGACTTTGTTCATCACAGCATCTCTGTTAATTCTGTTCTCTTCTGCCTCAAAACTGCATTTTCTTAGAGAAAAGGCCAAGAAACTGCAAACTGTAAAATGATACCATCCCACTTCCAAATTTAAGTGTTACACTTCTAATGATGTTAAATCAAGTGGTAGCCATTAGTCAGTCTATTGATTGTAAATGAAGTGATTTTGTTTGTTTTTGTTGGTGTTGTTTGTTTTTCTTGGTTTTGTAGGTTTTTTTTGTGGGGGTTTTTGGTTTTGTTTGTTTAAAAAAATGCTTGAAAGAGGCTTGTATTCAACACAACTCAGACAGATAATAATAGTGGTTATGTTTTTCATGTAAGAAACTCCAAAATCATATCTAGCATGCAGCTGCCTGGTTTACTCTGGGGGTAGGCTGGAGGCTGGGAAATTGTCTCTGATTTCAGCCAAGGTAAATAATCTGATAACAGAATGCCCTTTAAACTCGGGACTCAGGAGGTTGTGATGGGAACAGTGATCAGCAGGTTTAAATCGTTCCATAAGCTTGTTGCCTGATTTCACTGTAAAACAATAAATTGCTGATGGTAAAGTGTGGAAAGTAAAATGGAAGTAGAATATTGCCAGTCTTGTGCTAAGGTATTTGGAGAACTAAAATAAGTGAAAAATAATTTTTTCAGTGAATTAACTTGTTACAAAATGCTATAGACATTAAGGCATTTGTTGAATACCTTTGAAAACTCAGTTAATTATTTACAAAAGGAAGTTTTCACAGGTAGTGGAAAMTGTTGATGGAGGCAGTAATGAAGATGAGATTTAAAAGCTGTTTTTTCTTCCTAGTCATGATGTATTCAGGCAAACTCTTTGCAGAAGGTAAATACACTGAATTCTATTGTACATTGAATCTAGCATATGCAGTCTTGGTAACTGTAATGCAATGTCTTTCAGCTCTTAGTAAACACTGCTTTTTAAATTTAAATGCAATTCTGTTGTGATATGGCTGATAGTCATGATTCAGCTGCTGCTGATTCCTRTCTAAGCCTCAAGCTGTAATATTGAAAGGTTCAGGCTTTAGTTCAGAAGAAATTTCTTTTGAAATGTCTGAGCTGTTTTGAGCACTTACACAAATTGAATTTTGTACTATTAAAACATTTTATATATTGAATTGTCTTGGGGATTGAAATGTTTTCACTTTTTTACAAAGCAAAATAGGGGAAGTCAATCTGGGGTGGTCCTGTGTTTTCTATCCCTATTTTCAGCATTGATTTCTTCTTGTTTGTTGGTTTTGATTTTTTTGTTAGTTTGGTTTTGTTATTTTGGGGGTTTTTAAAGTAACTTAATATCATATTCAGCACTACTCTTTCAAGAGGTTTTCTCCTGTTACTGGGTTTTTTTTATTTTTTAATTGCCATTGTGCTTGTTTTTCCTGATCTCCATTTCTTCTTTCTTTTCTGTTGACTGTTTTTAAAGCAATCTTTCTTAAGCAACCTTTACTCCAATATTGCCTCCTGACTGTTTGTTCCACTTTTCTGGTAACATTTTCTTAACTGAGCTATGGCAAAGCTATCCTGACACTTGTCACTGGATTTTACAGTAGGCATGGGTGTGTTTGTGCAGCAAAGGGTGCTCGTGCTTCTGGGTAAAAAAAGTAAAATAAAGGTGTCCTGCATCACTTTTGCCCCATTCCCATTAGGAGATTTTATTCTACAGCTGATATTCCTGTGAACCCTAAGAGCAAAAGCTGATAAAATTGTAGTATATCTTCATTTGAGCAAGTCTTAAAAGGCCCTCCATGTTTGTAAGTATTCGGAATTTTGTTCTCTTTGTTTGAAAGCCTGAATCAGTCAAGCTGATGCTAAATAAATTAATGCAAAAATATTCATATCTGGACTGAAAGTTTTAGTGGGAAATATATTTTATCTTTKTTACAGATACACCTTGTGATTTACCACATATAGAAAATGGAAACCTTGCCCAGTACTATTACAGTTTCAAAAGTTACTATTTCCCTATGCGTAAAGGAAAAAAGCTCTCCTATTCTTGTATGGTTGGTTACACAACTGAAGCTGGGACTCAAGATGAAAGAATAACTTGCACAGCAAAAGGATGGTCTCCAGTGCCACGATGCTACAGTGAGTTARCTTTATTCATCTCCTCAATGCTTCCAACCACCAACATGTAGCTGGTTTGCTTGGGACACAAAGGAAAAGAAGCTGCATAACAASGGATAAAATGTACAGGATGCAATCAGTTATTTATGTTGAGGCTACACAGGTTTATATAAGGAATATTTACCTAATAATACATATTTTAAGGGCTTTTAACTATTTATGGTTTTTTATAAGAACATATGAAAGTTGCCCAGTTTTCTTATTTTGGGAAAACTTAGTTTTCCCTTAGATGTATAGCTTCTTGAGTCTCCCTAGCTCTGTATTCCTTGGCTGTATTCCATGTTACCAGTGGTTTGATGTATTGTTGATGATTGGAGCAGAGTTTCTTCAATAGATCAAAAAAGTAAGATTAGTGTAGCTACCCCTTCGTTTGCTTACTGGAGAGCAAAAATATTCTGTTCTTTCTTTCTAACCTTCTAAAGCTGTCTTTTTTTCATTCAGGAAAATGCAACAAGCCTCTTTTGGAGAACGGCTTTTTTTACAGTACAGAAATGGACTTCAAAATCCATGAGAAACTGGAATACAAATGCAATCCAGGCTACCACACTCCAAGTGGTGATACTGAGGATACAGTGCAGTGTCAGCCACAAGGGTGGTCCTTCCAGCCAAGCTGTACTAAAAAACTTGGTAGGATCCTGTGTTTTCTCCTTTTTAATCTATTGCAGATGTATGTTTTAAATGATGTCCCMCTGCCTTTGCTGTACCTGTAGGGCCAGACTGCCTAGGACAGGCTATCATTTGAGTGCTCCCAAAGCACTCATGCCTCTGGGAAGAAAGTTGTCAGATTTCACRTGCTGCTGGTTTTGTGCATTTGTGCATTTGTACAGATGCAATTATATGTAAGATGAAGCAGTAGAGATGAAATCACAGTGTTTAAAAAAAAAACCATTGCTATACAAACTTTGTTTTCCAAATGATGAGCGCAAAACTTGTGCAAATATTAATTTATAATTAATCATTATTCGGGTGGGATATAACCACTTCAAGGTGTACCTAAGGGAAATTTTGGAATACTTSCAACAAAAAGTGCGATTAACATTATGCCTGTGCTTTATTTTCTTTGAGAGTCATGCCAAGTGCCCAAGTTAGCTCACGGCAGCTACTCCCKAGCCCTGCAGGAGGTGCAGCTGAACGGGACACTGCGGTACTCGTGTGAYGCGGGATATCAAACTGCAGCAGGGAACACCTCTGAGGCAGCRCTGTGCCTCGCCCACGGCTGGGCCCTGACCCCCAGCTGCACCAGTAGGTCATTTCTCTTTGAAAACTGGATTATTCTATACATTCAAATTGGCCAAGAGGCTGATTTTATCAGCTGTTTGCAGCAGCAGTAGGGGGAGCTTTCTTCAGTTGGTTTTCACTGTTGTGTTTTCTTCCAGGAGTAACTTGCTCCTCTTTGAGTGAAGTAGCTCATGGAGGTTTCCATCCTGTGAAGAAAATCTATGAAGAGGGAGATGTAGTTCACTTTTTCTGTGGCAAACATTATTCTGTCACTGGATTTGACTTAATCCAATGTTATAGTTTTGGGTGGTATCCAGACCCTCCCGTGTGTGAAGGTATTCTATTTTTATAGTTTTGCTGTCTCAAATACTAGCACCTTCTTTCAAGAAATGCTTTGTGAACACAGATTAAAAATACGGGGTTTGTACCCTAAATCTAAATCAAGCGTTAGTCAAAGGGCAGGGACCCAAGGCAGCACCAAGGGGGGCAATGGTAATTGGAGCTACATTTCAGTGAACGCTAACAACAGAGCAGATACTGTCCCTTACTGTTGCATCTCCAAGCTGTATCCTGGAAAAGCAGGAATCAGCAGTTACAGGGACTTATTTAGACCCTGAAGCTYGAAAAACTGTGTTCAGAATACATGAAGGTTTAACCAGGCATGCTTAATCCTGCCTTGTGGAGTGGGAAAGTGCYTCTCAAGACGCACTAAATAAAAATTTGTAACAAGTACTTTTCAGAGTTTTGTAGCCTCCCCAAACTTTACTTGTCTTGAACAGAATCAATTGAAAGGTCCTGAGGACAGAATCACACCTKTAGTGATTGCTTTGCAATTATTGGGGCATAATGGAAAGTCTCAGTAAAGAAATTTCCAAACAAATGAAAGGTGAAGCAGCTGAGATGTGGAATAGAGCAGAAAGCAGCACAAATCAACCTTTAGTACAGCTTAGACTCCAGCCCTCTGTTTATTCTCATGACACAGCAGRAACTTTCCTTGAAAGAGTACAGAAAGTCCTCCTTTATGCTCAGGAGGATGAAAGCCATATCTAAATCTTGTTTTGAGGATCCAATAATTGCAAACTTAATTTGGAGATAGGAAATGGGCTATGATTATTGCTCCTTCTGTAGCACTAGAATTAATACATAACCTATTTTAAATATTATATGAATGRAGGCCATGGGAAATCTATTTCCTGGAGTCCTTTAAAGAACATTTTATTAAGTCTATGTGGAGAAATTACAAATTTGTTTATAGCAGTGCAATGACKTAGTACTTCTATTTTGTATTTGTTGAATGCAAAACCACTTGTTTGTTCAGGTCTCCTATGTATTAAGAAAATAAGGAAAATTTTATTAAGGAATATACCCTGGTTTAGCCAAAAATGCCTTTTGAATGATAGGCTTGCATTGTGCATGGTGAGCTTAATTGTGTGTGTGATTTTGGTAAGAGAGAAAACAAGATGCAATTTCTTATTTTCAGATGTAAAAAATAAATGTCCTCCACCACCACTCCCTCATGGCCATGTCATCACAGCCAGAAGGACATATCATAATGGAGACAAAGTTCGTGTATACTGTCAAGGGACCTTGGGAATGAGAGTATCTGAGGAAATCCAGTGTGAAGGAGGGAAATGGACACCACCCTCTTCCTGTATTGGTTAGTGCCTCTGTGAAGGCTGATACCTGAACAGAAATGATTCTTCAACTCTGCCTTAATTTTCTGGAGTGCCTCAGTTTCTGTATGTGCAAAAYTGTTGGCTTCCTCTCTTCAAAGGCTTGAGAAGCAAAGTGCTGGATATTTTGCATTATTAGATTTTATAACGCATCATGGCTTATGTACATGTTTTAGTATTTTGGAATTAGCTGTTTCTGAGAAAACTGATTCTGAATTTCTGCTGTGGTTACAGGAACTGTGGATAAACAGGAATCTGAGGCACCACCACCACTCGAGGCAGATGCAGAAAGAAGGACAAGCCAAATGCATCTCAATGAAGATATGAGTAGGTGAACATATCTTTTCTTAATTAAACGGGACTCTCCAAATCTATTACAGGGATTTTGTGGCTACTCTGATTCTTTTGCTATAGGAYAGTTCCTTATTTTAGTAAATACTTGTATGTGCTACAGATGTCACTGTAGTCAACTMATGAAAGGCTGTTGTTGCTTATTTCTAAATTACACCAATAAGCCTGCTCTGTATTTGTAATTTTATTTCATACATTAGCATCTACTTTCAGTCTTTTGTACCCTTCAATGTAATTTGAACATGCAACATTCATGAGTAGTTTGTTGTTCCTTTCATTAATACTTCCAGTGAGGTTTCCTTTGTTTATTTTGAACTACACATTGGTTCAAGTAACCAATAAGGTGGTCTTGTCTCATAAAAAGAACRAATGTATATTGAGTGTAAAACAGCAAGAGTCAAAAGTAGACATAGATGTCAAGTGTAGTGGGAAATGAAGTGCATGTCAGCAATTCAGTAAGGCAAATGTAGAATTGCTGAAAATGAAGGAAAATTGGAAAAGGAATTGTATTAGTTTAGATTTTACTTGTATGCAAGTCTTTGTGCTAAGTCTAATATTGATCTAATACTGTCACCAGTGTTAACATTGTTGTAATCTAATCAAGATCTAATTGCCTGTCTCTCTGTCTCCTATCAGAAATGCAACAAGACTGTGCCTCTCCACCTGTGATTAAAAATGGCGGTGTTCTTGGCCCATTATTGGCAAGCTACAAAAATGGTTCTTCAGTAGAATATGGTTGTCAGCATTACCACTTTTTGGATGGGCCCAGTACTGTTTACTGTGATCATGGAAACTGGACAGAACAACCAACCTGCTTAGGTGAGTCTTGTGAGTAAAAGCAAGTTCTGTCACACATGATATGGAAAGGGAAAATTGGAAAGAACTTCTAAATAATCTTTTCATTGTTATCTTGTCTTTTTTGAGTTAATAAAGATTCTAGAAATATGAGGATGAACCAAAATGAAATTTTTAGCAGGTCTCTTCTGCTGGGTGTCCTCTGGGCTGTTCTTAAAACCACCCAATTAAATAGATTCCTTTGTTTTTCTGAGTGGACTATTCTAGGATATAACTATCCCTGCTTCCTAGGAGGATTCTCCAATTTCTTTAGTCCATATTGTCCATTTAGTTTATTTCTTCCCGTCTTTCAATAGATGATTAGAAAGAATGGTATGGCCATTCCCAATATGGCTTTTAGATACAGTTAACAAAGAATTGACAATGACTTCTTCGACTTTTTTTTTAAACTTTCAGCGTTTTTTCTTTTTAATTATGTGTCTTTATATCTGTTGTCCCAGCCTGGCCTCGACTTTTTAATTTTTCCATGTTGCTCTTATGTATGTGCTCAAAACAGCAAATAGCGTTACTACTAGAAAATTACCAATGCTAGCAGKAATACAAACAAGGGTTGTTTGCTTATCTTTCCTTCCTTCCCCTAATGAAATAATTCTATTTTACTAACAACCTTTGTGAAAGGGCTCACCTTTAAGTTTATAATCTACTGTGTAAATGAAAATAAACAACCAGTTCACATTTAATTGTGTATTTCAAAATGAATAAAAGCTACCTCACATAGACAGAACGGTCCAGGTCAGCATATTTGGATCTGAGTATTCAGATTTAACAATTCCTGTGGAATAACAAGATGGCATTTCCTGTGAGCATTGTTTCTCTTCTAAGCATCCAAATAACCCCACCATCCTTTCATGTTTTCTGAGATTTCTCTTCAACCCTCACATAATCAGACAAGAAAGAGCACATGCTGTTGTAACTTCAGGAAAATTCCGTATAAATTTGGTGTTACACAGCTGTCATCAGCCAAGCTGTCATCAACCATCCTGTGAAACTTGTAGAAACTTATTTTTGAAGGGGACCCCCTGTAGGCTTCATTGAACACTGGTTTCAGAAGTTAACAAGGTTAATCATCTAATGGAAGGCTACCCACCACACTGTGATCTTGGCCCTGGGTTTTAAGAAACATGTCAGAAAACATCCATTCCTTTTATGTATGAGGTTTTTTTTCTTTTATTGCTTCAGACCATTTCTTTACATTTGCATCTTTCATGCATCTGTAGTTCATGGTCTTGCAAGATTCAGAAGCACTTTACAACTATTCACTTGGGTTTCTCTTTCTTCACTCCCACAAAAGGGAGCCAAGAAATCACTTAAGGTGCCTTCTTATTAAAATATATTTTTGTATCCTAGAACCATGTACTCTTAACGTAACTGATATGGACAGCAACAATATAAAGTTGAAATGGAGACAGGAAGAATTAATTTTCCTACATGGMGACCTCATAGAGTTTGAATGTAAACAGGGATATGATTTTCTGCTGACTGCCATTCCATCTGCTGGGAGGACACAGTGTGACCACGGCAGACTGAAATATCCCAAATGTGTTATTCAAGGTAAAACAATTACTTCTTACTGCCTTTTTAATTAATGTGTTGTAGACTTTGCTGTTCTTTAAGTGTGGGCCTGGAGTCTGTTGCAAATAATTAGTGCTTAGGCTTCAACTATACAGATGCACAAAGTAACTCTATTGTTTAATATATCCCAGCATGGAAAAGTGATACACCTTCCTTTGCTGGGCGAGGCTGTAGAAAGGAGGGGGAAGCTCTTCTTCAAGCCCAGGAAACTGRAAGTTCTGTAGAAAGAGAGCTGGAAAAAGAAATCCTTTGTGCTCATTTAATTTAGGATAAAGCTGTCAATTTGTTAATTTCTTGTGCTGAATGTTTCTCAGATGTTTTTATTGTTCTTGCAGCTGCTACASWAAAATGTGGCTCTCCACCATCTATTGCAGCTGGAGCTCTTACKCTCCCAGCACTGCCCCAGTATGACARTGGTTCTTCAGTCCAGTATATTTGCTCTGACTATCATTTTTTGGAAGGCTCTGAGAGAATCTACTGCTCTGAAGGACAGTGGACTTTGCCCCCAGTTTGTATAGGTAGGTGTGCCAAATGAGATCAAAAAGCGCTTATTTTTCTCTATAATTCATCGCCTCAAGGAACAGCTGGGAAGCAGGGTGACCTGTACAGGCCATCTGGTCCCACCCCTGCAAGGAGCAGGGACATGTGCAGCCACATCAGCTTGCTCAGAGCCCTGTCCAGCCTGACCTTGGATGTTCCCGGGGGGGATGGGGCAGCCACTGCCTCTCTGGGGAAACTGTTGCAGTGTTTTACCACTCTCATTGGTAGCAGTGTCTTCCTTCTGTCTAGGCTGGATCTACCCTCTCTTAGTTTTAAACCGTTACACCCTGTCCTATTAAAATTTCTGTATTCATCTTTCTTATAAGACCCTTTTAAGTTCTGGAAGTGTGCAGTGAGGTGTCTCTGGATSCTCCTTTTCTCCAGGCTGAACAACCCCMATTSTCTCTAAATTCAGATCTTGAATTTATAAATTAAGTATATATCTAAAGGTAGAACTTTTAGRTCTGAATTTCAGATTTTTCCGTTAGAGATGAAAGTTTTAATAGAAGCAGGTAAAGCTCATCTGGCTTGAAAAATAAATTYTCTTACCTATGGTACACCTGCAGTATAATGAGACAATGGAAAATAATTTACAGAATTAGTGTAGCCCGGTCCAAATCTTCTGTTTCAAAAAGAATCAGTTAATTAGCCCTGATTAAATCTCTCGTTTTTTAGAGCCATGTACCCTGTCAAAAACTGAAATGGAGAAAAATAATGTGCTGCTGCAAGCATTCTATGCGGATCAAGTTCACTTTTACCATGGGGATTATGTTGGATTTTACTGTAAACAGAACCATTTTGGAGCAGAATCTGGCAGAACTTTGTTTCAAGTACAGTGCAAGAGRGGGCAGCTGTCATACCCAAGGTGTGTTGAAAGAGGAGCACAAATATGGAGTTGAGGAAAGCCTGCAGGAAAGGTATGTACCTGTTCTTGATCTCCTATCAGCAGCTGAATTAGGTTGGCCTCGTGTTCTCCAGGTCACTGCAGGCAGCTTTGGGAACGAGTGCTCAGGGTCTGTTGCTGGGTCTGAGCTGGAGAGGGAGAAAAGGGAAAGGCCTTTGTGGGACAGCAGGAGCAGTGCAGCACAGGGATGCAACATTGGCATCCACATGGAAAAATCTGAGGAAGGAGTTTTGTAAGGCCTCCAGGGATAAATGTGAGGGTGCATCACAACCTGCAGGACATGAGCAAAGTGCCACGAGGA